TCATCAGGAAACATATGACTAAGAAATTTGAAAAGGATTATTCACTATCCGTAAACAAGAAGCCTTTATACATACGACTGAGATTCAAGGACGATATAGCTAGCGAAATACTTACGAAAAGTTAGGCAAATCTACTCAAAGAACTTATTACGCTGACAAACTACAAGTATTATTTTCTGCATGACCGATGATGATTCCCCAGTTGAAAGATGAAGTACCTAGACTAGCCACTTACAATATATATATCTCTTAGTTCAACTGCGCTTGCGGTGGAGCGAGCTATATTGGCCCTTGCTGTAGTTATTTGGTTTTTCTTGCCCAGGAACATATACAAGTGTGGTGAAATAAAGATGTAGGGAGAAGCGTCGACTGCTCGATATTAGACCACCTGGTCTAAACCGGCCACAAAGCTATCATTGAAGAGTCCTTCTCCATCCTCTATCGGGTACCAAACAAACTGTCAAAAACATCCAGGTATCGCAAACTCCAAACGGCAGAGGCTATTGCGATTCGCCTTAAACGGCCGATTCTCTCTTTAACTTAAATTTGTATTGATAATAATCGGTGAGATTAGTTATCCTTATAAATTGTTTTTTAAGGTTGGTCCATCTAAGATAGCCAATAAGAAAGCTTCAGGAAGCCAATGTGGGTCGGAGGGTTTTAAAATGATCTTGGGTTTTGTTCAGTATAGTATAAGAAGAGGTTAGTTAAACTTTTGTCCAGACGTATACAGCACATTTTTACTGAGGAGTACATTGAGGAAGAAATGCAAAACTTCAGATTCATTGAATCAATAGTAACGTGGTTGCCTCTTAACCACTGGTGGTATCATGAGTGGGTGCAGGTGAAGAGTCATAGACTAGATAGAAACAAATTTACAGTGCTTCCCGGTCCAAGCTAAATGGTCTTACATAAAATACCTCCTCTGCTCTCAGTCTTAGATGTGGTCTGCGAGAACTATGCTTACAGCATAGAGGGCAATGAAACAGAGACTCAACCAAGCATAAAATACCTTGACATAGTTCTATCATCTGACCTTTCTTGGTCGTGCCATATCTTGTTGACTTCAGAGGAAATTTTTCGCATAACGTAGTACTTTAGGAAGTTAAGGCGATCGTGTATCACTCAAACTATAATTTTGTAATTTGTTCGCTGTTTCACATTGTCTGTTGTTCCTTTTCTCGCCCTTTTCATCTTCCCTGGACTATCCAAAAAGCATTCTGTCATAGTGAGCAGAGTATTGAGGCTTGTCAGTTGGGCTAGTGGTGTGGCTAATACTGTAGTCATCAGAAACTTGAACTCAAGTGAAAAGTGGTCTAAATCCAAGTTGCCTAATTCTCAACACCTTTTCTATTCATAACTCTCCCCTTGTATCTCATCAGGTAGGACTAGAAGTCATTATGATGGATTGAATGCTCACACAGTCAAGTATGAAAACTCAACAATGCCCTATTCGACCAGCGTTCTATGCAACAGAGACAGTGTTGACCGTGGAACTTACAACTTACTATGTGATTTACGGCAAAGGTATTTCAGTTACCTTACAATTTTCATTACTGACCTTATTATTATTACTACCATTTAGCGCTCTTTGTATATTTCTGACTTGATTATTACTGTTATTGCCAAAATAACTGCTATTATCAACTTCGGTTACCTGTACTCTGTAAAATATTTTCTAGATTTTGTTGTTGTTGTTGTTGAGGAAATTAGTTGCAGTACTGTATCAAATGATTAGAATTTCACCCTGTGTAATTTTAGTTGTGTTTTAGAATAGGGTAAATCATTATTATATGTTTTTAGGATCCCAATAAAAATTCAAGAAAACATGAAACAAGGAGCTTCCAAAAAAGGTTTGAATATGTCCTCATCATTATTGGAGTGATCACCGAACTCTCATCACTAAACCATAACTCATAGTGACACTCCAGAGGATTTATTGTGCAGCTAAACTCATTTTCAGCTTGATATGAAAGTTTAAAGGTACGAATATAGATTACAAGGGGCTTAGAGAGACAGGATTGCATAGGATTAGAAAACAGTTACAACGTATGCAAAAATTAATACTTGATAACTGGAGAAATGATTTTAAGTCAAATAAAAGGTGTTAATTGTTTTCAACTTGATATGAATTACAAGAGGCTTAGAAACGCAGAGATAGACTGAATTATAGGGGTGTGTACAAAATGAGCATGGAAACAAAGTGAAATCAAAATTTTCAACTTGAAATTTTAGTTAGGAGGTGTGAATATAAATTACAAGAGCCTTAGAAACAAACACAAAAATTGCACAGGATTAGAATAGAATTGTAAAATGTTTATTCTAAACAGATTACAAGTGCGATCAGGAAGAGCATGGGAACAAACTTAAAATAACCGATTTTATTGAATTGAATTTTTGATTTTTCTGTTGATTGATTGGACCGAAGTGCTCGGTCTCAGGTTGACATGTCGGCTTCTTGTGCAGATGCTTCGACGATGTCTGGGTATACTAATTAAATACCCAGACATCGTCGAAGCATCTGCACAAGAAGCCGACATGTCAACCTGAGACCGAGCACTTCGGTCCAATCAATCGACGGGAAAATCAAAAATTCAATTCAATAATTAATATGACCCGTTGCACAAGAGGTGGCTCTCGTGGCCCAAGTGGTCTAGTGGACAACGCTTTGGCGTTTGAAACTATGGGTACTGGGTTCGAGCCTCGGTGGGAACATCATCACTCACTGAGAAATGCAGGTACATCCAGATGACGCGTCCCAATTAGGACGAAATGCGCATCCTGGATTCCACTGCTAGCCACCATCCACCAATTTTATAACCTATTTTATAACTGAAAAAATTTGGTGAATCTAATGAAGACTGAGGGACTAAGGATCAGACAAACAGCTAGCGAAAAAATTTTCAAGAAGAAAAAGAGAACGAAAAAAAGAAGAAAAAACGGAAGCAAAGGGAACACACCAAACTAGGTCACCCATGTTAGTTGTAGTGTTTGGACTAATTTCTTTTGAACACACAGCTCCGGCTTCTCGATGCATATTGCGAGGGCTTTTGCAGTACAAAGAAGTCAGAAACATACTGCTCTTAGTAGTTTTTTTTCATTTGATTGCATAGCGAAAACTTATTTCGTATTGTCCTTTAAATATTTAGAGTATTTGAACGATAGTATCACATTCCGCTGTGTTCATTAGTTTTCATTTCTCCGTAATTACGCATACAGACGTAGGATCCATTGGTCTCTGCAGCTTTGGGCCACATAACACATTGTTATGTGTCTGCAGCATCAAATGAAGTCACATACCTCTATTTTCTCTCGAAATAAATACTCAGTTCCATTAATCGCAAAGCACATCATAGAGATAGGCCATAAATTCGGTCTTAACAGAGTTTCTAAACTCATATAACGAATCATATTGTGATTTTATTACTTACATTCATTGATGGCCTAGTCATTAAGATGTTTTAAACCTGCTTTATGCACTTAGAAAATATTCTTGATTATATTCAGCTTGCCTGGGTTTCCTATTATTTTTATCGAAATTCATAAAGTGAAGTAATTGTCAAGATATGGGTTGATTTCAAAGTAGATGTCATCAGGAATTAATAACATTCAGAGAATTTATTGGTCACCTGGAAGTACTGTACACTTCGAAACTCTTCAGCAGCATACCACCACGACCGGGCTAGGAGTCGAACTTAAGACATCTAGATACGAGAAAACAACAGTTCAGTACTCTGTAGTTCTTGGCGATTCCTTAACTGATGACGGTTGGTGACAAAATCCACTATGAAACGTATTGATATCAGAACAAGCCACATCTGAATATCAATTTCCAAATTATTAATGTCTACTGGATGAATATCGTAAAGTTGCGATGAGAAGTTCTAGCTAGTGTGGCCGATCATTTCATAATGAAGTGGATACAAGTGAATATTCCTGACTCTAGCCATTGCAACTTCAGCGATTTCACTAAACTGCATCTAAAATGTATACTTAGTAGGGATATAAGGTTGGTTAACAATGGATACTGTAGATCAGAGAACATATGTCAAGTTGAGCTGAAAAGGTGAAAATACCTCTGATATTTTAAAATGTAAGCTAAATAGGTTGATGGAGACAAAATTCTCCACAACAAAAGTGGTACTCAGCTTCTTGAACAAATCATTACTCACAAAGCGAGGCAAGGGTGAATTACTAATGACCGCCTCGTCATTGTGCATCGATGAATTCCCCTGTTTCTATTGGTCAAATTACTCAGGCATTACTCAGACGGTTTTATCCATTTACTCACATAAACAAGTGTGATATAGATAGGTAAGGGAGCAGCCTCAGCTATTGGATAGTGAGTGTTACATTGGACCAAAGCATGCGCGTTCTTGATCGTCTACCGTGCTCCCAGTAATCTGTCGACGGTGGCTTGACTTCGTCCCATGTCGATAAATAAAGCAACAGCAATCCATATTAAAAGACCTGATCTTTGTATCTAGAAGAAATGTATGCAGCCACAATGTTTATACCGGAACTGTAGCGCAGTTGGAAAGTATCCTACCACTGTAATCCAACGTATTCATTTTTCTGTTTTAGGTGGCTTATAAGACGTTCAATACAATACACTGTGTACACTACATTTCATGGACAAGATATATTGAACAGCACTAAGTCAGTTCTATTTCCAATATTCCAGTGCATCACGCTGAATACTTGAATTCTGAAATTCATTTTAAGAAGGAAGCTTTTTTATAATGCTCCACTTCTAAATAATAAAATGAGGGCAGTTCACTACCATTATATTACTGGTTCCTTATGTAGAGGGTGAAACATGAAGCCCGAAGTGAACACTTCAGTTACACTTGTTTCCATGTTATCACTTTCAGCTACCTCGTCAACTTCTCATAAGCGTAGTTTTTTATTTGCCAGTCTTAAGCACGAAGAAGCCGGCAGGTTATAAGATGAGATTAGCAACCATATCGCTAAGTGAACATTAGAGCACAGGAGGATAAAGGCAATATAATTGTATGGTAATTATTTTTTAACACAAAGATTAAATCACATTACTGGTTTTGAAATTGATCAAAAAGGAATCACATTTTGTAGAGTTTAAAAAGGAGCTTGTCACTTAAAGCATATTGTGAGCCACTGAGCCAGATGTCGGCATTTAAGATGCTGGTGTCATTCCTCCTGTAGACACCAAACCTCCAAGTCCTTCATCAAGACGTTTAATTACTAAAAACAAACAAGTAAAAAAGTCTACTATAAGTAAGATACTGAGGAATTAATCATGAAGTGAGTTCAGCTACGGAATCACTAAGAACCAGAAAGTACTGGACAGCTATTTCATACATTCTTCGGACTGTTCATCAGAACGCACTCACAGTTCCATCAGGTTCCATTAGGTTATAAATCCTCACTAGCAACTGAGTGTAGGGTGAAGATTCCAGTAGAAAGACGAGACCAGCGGGATCTACGATGTTGGGTGTGAGGACAGATATTAAGCAATGACACTGACTTGCAGTAATGCTATAGATATCCGAAAAAGAAGCGAGACAGGACTGGTTGACCATTGGATTCCGTATCAGTGACTGAAAAGTCGACAGCTACGTCTCACAACCTGATAGTCCTGGATTTCACCCCTATTTAGGTGGATGAAGTGAACAATTGAAGAGTCCCAAAAATGGACGAAGCCAGCACTCCCTATTTTTCACTGTTTCTCGAAATCATATCATTTCATGAATCGACCAAATCCCTGCAAACAAAACACTGGACAATGAATTTAAATCATTAAGAATTCACAGCTGAAAGCGAAATATAACATACATGTTGCTATAAGACCTTGAATCTGTTGTTCTAAATTGTCTTTTTCTAAGAATCCTTTAATCATTGTAACATCTTGTCCAGAGGAGGCTAAAATTAATTCTTGAATTTTTTTAATCATATTTATTTCACAAGGTGTACTCTGCTGTAAAAGATAAATAGTAAGTTTATTATGTTGTATATCGGTGTATTACCACATCCACAGTTGGTAGTCCTACAGTCGGTACACCCCTTTAAATTAGAAATAAAAAGAGATAATGGATTAAATTACTGCTGAAGGATAAAATGGAATAAGTTAGAAAGGAAAAAGGTATCTGAAACCACAAAACCAGACAATCTGTAGTGAAATGGCCACACATTTTCCTGAATGTCAGTTATACAGATGAATACGAGGATTCCAAACTCTGAAAACCAAAACTCTATTTACTAGCTGATACTATTGTGTAGGATTTGATGAATGAATGGTCATGTATTACATTGGGCCGAAATCCTCTACTGACGTGTCGGCTCTTAGAACTTACACTTTGATGATGTCTGTGGAGTACTATTATGTTGTTTTGAGGATGGCGATTAGTCAAGGTAGTCTAGTTGATAACGCTCTAGCATACTGAATTCGAGAGTCAGTGAGGCCACTATCATCATTCACTCTACTTTGCTCATACATCTAGCTAACAAGTCCAGAATGGCGAGGAGTCTGTTTCTGGATTCCAGTGCTAGTCAGTTACCATCCACCAAAACAGGAGGGGCGTTAGATATGACAACCTACTTTATCAGCTCGTTATATCTTCACTCATAATGTTAACTGATGGAAAAGCTGCAAATGACAGAGATGTGATGTTGGCTGCTTATTGATCATTCCGCTATTGGTTATTATTCCCGCAGATGTGGGTTCCGAGTGCGAGGGACACACAGCTTCAGCAGATGAATGCATTTTGACAATATTTACAAATCTCTTCACCAGCATTTCTTGTTCAACACAGGTACACTTTCGAAACCTTCGGTATTCTCTACGGAGGTTACTGCTTCATACTGAAAACTCCTGTGTATGCAAAATTCGAGCTATAAGGAGAGGAAGTGTTTGTTAATCGACAATGAGGCTATCTAGGTTGATCTTTTGACCTCGGGAAATGTTGGTGTAAAAGCTAAAATGATTGAAAGTGGGATTGTATCCTGAATCGTCACATGATTGAAGCTAGCTACCTACACATTCATTCTCGCTACATCACGCCATTTCATATAGTTACGTGTAATACCTGATATCTGATGGTGTGTTTCGGTGTGATATGTATCCTCCGCATCTAGTAGATTAGGTGATGAGGGGTATAAAAGGCCATGAACAAAGACTTGCTTCAAACTTTCATCAACACTACTTAAATTAAAGTGTTCAGACATCTCTATAAATCCCCCTGGTCCTTCAAATTCTTCTTTGTATTGTAAATGTCTACATAATAAGGTACGCTTACATCGAGTTATTTACCTTACGTAATTTTAAACGCTACCATTTATACCGGAAATATCATTCGATATACATTTCAGTGTTAGTGTGCACTATTTAGAAGTAAAACATCAATGCGACAAATGTTTACTCAATCAAAAATTGATCATACTGTCCTCAGGCTGGATAATTAAGCTTTCTTCCATCATATTGAGCTTGGAGGCAATCGGAAAGAAGCTATGAACTCAGGCTTCATGTTTACTGGCACACATTAGCAAAGAAATAAGTGAGGAAGTTTCAAACCGCTCACAGGTTCCAGTTGGCGTCATAATGCAAACGAATAAAAAAGATAACAGAGGTAAAAGATTTCATTCATTTCATACAAACAGTCTTCACTACTAATTGGCAGACTGGATAAAAGGCATATCAAAAAACTACTTACAATGACAGATAAACACTGAAGGAAATCAGCATGAAGGTGGCTAAAATGAATCGCATTTCTGCTTTATTCGATATTATCGCTTTGTTAACAATAGTCGCCGTTTTGTGATCAGTCTGATCCTTTTATTTTACAATAAGTCCAATGAGATCAACAGTAATTCGGCGTCCAATCAAAACAAGTATAATGATTATGTTTTTTGTAAAATAAACTATGCAGACTCATGATCACAGCGAACACAAAAACAAGTTTGTTGTTGAGGTTTAAATTTTTTTCACCAAGATATTTGATAATGACCCAGAGTTATTTTGGTAAAATCGTTACTTGAGTTCCCCATTGGTTCACTTGATTCGACTGTAATGCTCAGTCTTTATTGGTATATTGGCTGTGAGCACGGTAGCTTCGATAATGCCTTTAGATTATTTCGATGTTACTGAGTTAAAGTTGGTGAACCGTGGAATCCGCGACGAACCTTTAGTTCTATAAGCGGCATACCAAGGATCCAACCCAACCAGTTGACTCACTATGATAGATGTCATGTAAACTTACTGCATTCTATCTGAGATTTCGTCAACGATTAGTCTTTTTGGACTGACGCGACTTCCTAAATAAGTGAAGTGGTCTTTTAACGTGGTCTACCATTTCACTGCTTTTTTTTTTACCTAGAAGTTGATAATATTAAAGTCCTGTGACACCGTCTTGCATTTAGTAGGAACAAATTGCATGCCAGACATTTGATGACATCTATTCACAGCGTTCAATGGACGCTATAGTGAATTAGAGTCAATTCCATCTGTACACCTGTTGTGAAATTAAACAGAGACGATTGAATTGGACATTTATGATGGCCGTAGTTGGTTTGCATCTCTTTATACCGCCAGATTCACAAGGAATCTAGGTTTAAACTGAAATTATCTGTACCACTACTATGCTGGCTAGAGAAGATGTCTCATTGATCGTAACCTTTCGGATCATGTAAGTACATGCGGATCACTGAAGACACTGATTTGGCAGGTGATGAGAGAAGATAATAAGGACTCAAAACAAATCCTGATTGTTTTGATATAAGTATAAAACTTGAGCACTGTGGTAGAGTATAACTCCACTATGGATAAGATTTTATTTTAATAAATCACACAGTGTTGTACAGTTATGTTAACTGATGACGTTTCGAGCACAGACTATCGCTCATAATCAATCTCTCCAGCCGACTCAGTCCCTCGGTCCTGATGGTGTTCCTGCTGTTATCCTTAAGGAGTGTGCCGACATCTTGTGTTCCCCGCTAACTGACATTTTCAACGAATCTTTTTCCAAAAGTATTATACCTGAATCATGGAAAAATATCAAGATCGTTCCAGTGCCTAAATCTACAAGTGGACCTAATGTTAAGTTTAGACCCATTTCAATTACCTCACCCTTTTTGAAAGTTATGGAAAGACTTATTTTACTTAATCTTGATCCCTCTTTAAAACCTTTCAACGACCCCAACCAGTTTGCTTATAAACATAGTAGGTGTACGTTAGATGCCGCTGTCGTCCTCCACCATAGCATAGTCTCTAGTTTAGATAAAGGAGCTAAATACGTTCGCTGTGCCTTCCTTGATTACACATCTGCATTTGACTCTGTTCCCAGGTCTCTCTTGCTAAGTAAGCTTGCTGCAACACAGGCTGAAAGCTGGACAAATAAGTGGTTGCATTCCTATTTTTCTGAAAGGAAGCAGTACACCGTCTACAATGGAAAATCCTCCACTACCTCACTTACTTTAGCTGGTGTCCCTCAAGGTGCTGTTCTTTCTCCCTTTCTGTTTTCGTTTTTCTTACATGACTTGCCTCATTCTGATGTAGCCACTTTTGTTAAGTATGCCGATGACCTCTCGGTTTCTATGCCTGTCAACTCTCAGTCAGATTGTTCCAAATTAAATAGCTTTCTGTCGGAAATTAGTCAGTGGTCCTCTTCAAACGGACTTAAGCTTAATCCGTCTAAATGTCAGGTAGTCAATTTCACTTTCAGACGTAAATGTGACCTACAGCAACTAGTTAGCTCACATGGCCCCACTCTCATTGACGGCACAGAGGTTGAAAATACATCTAATGTCAAGTACCTTGGGCTGAGTTTTTCCACCGATCTTTCCTGGTCTTCCCACATCTTGCTAGTTACTAGAAAGATGTTTCGCTTAACGTTCTACATTAGGAAATTTAGGCAGTCTGGTATAAAGCAGTCTTTACTTTCTCAGTTTGTAAATTCTTGTATTCTACCCATCCCCCTTTACTGCTCCCCATTAGTCTTTCCTGGACTACTTAAGAAAGACTTTGCTTCGCTGAGAAGGGCACTAAAAGCTGTTAGTAGGGCAAGTGGGATATCGTTAAACCAACTGGTGAACACTATTGTAGATAGACATATTATGTCATGTAAGAAACTAGCGAATACAATATTGTCGGACCCCGAGCATCCTCTCTATACGCATCTATCTCCTTGCATTTCATCTGGTAGAACTAGAAGCAGCTATAGGCGACTATATGCTAGGACTACCAAACACAAAATCTGCACAATACCATATCTGGCACAGCTGTTATGTGATGAGAAATCCGTTAGGTATGACACGATAAACTTACTGCAGCACTCTAACAAATAGTCAGTCCCATTAGTTTTTGTTTTCCTTTCCTCGTTACTACTACACTGTTGTTCTCATCTACTACCACACATCAACTTTATATTTCAAATCCTGTGTTGCATTGTTTGAAATGAAATACTCTACGTTGTTTTTTTCTTAATTTTTAATATTTATTTATTTTATTTATTTATAACTTATTTATTTTATTTTTATTTATTTATCTTTGATTTTTAAAAATCTTATATAATTTATGAGGTAATTAGATGCAATATACTGTAATGCACGCTGAAAATTCCATACCTGTACCACAAATACTGTTTGGAATAAAGCTGTTATTATTATTATTATTACTCAATGTGGGTCATCGTTTGAGTGGAATTCAAGTGGGAAACGTCAAATGAGTCATCCTATGGTGATATCTACGAGATAATATAAGGGGAATTTAAGAGACTATGGTCAGCCATGGGGCCAACTAAAATAGGCCACAGGAAAAAGGACAAAGTGCCGACGTGCTGCTGAAGCCCCATGTTCCACTAGAAACCGAGGAGAGCAATAATAACGACAAGTTCGTAGCAGCATTCCGGAGCACCATCCTCTTCAGATATATATTTTAGAGCGATTCATAGAAACTCCAACAATGTAATAAAAATCCCTTAAACACTTCATTTCCACACAGCGAAATGGCTAGTTATTAGCAACTTTAACCTGAATTGTCCATTCATAAATTATACAATAAATTTAATATGTATTTTATAGTAAAGTCTTGTTAGCTGTTTCGCTTTTCCCTTTACGAATTCCAATTGACATTGATCTCCAAAGGTAACTAACCTCATTTCAACATCACTTCAGTATGTTTAATGGGTCTCTGGAAACAAGACTAACAGAGTCCTTTCAGATCTGAAGACTAGACAGATTGAAAGGACAGAGAAAAATTATAACTCATTTGGATGCTTTTGCTTCTATATGAAGTCAGCTATCCTGCTCAAAGAACAAAACTACACTGTTCTAAATTCTAAGTCTTTTCACTTCTTTAACATAAACAATTAAGGTATGTTGATGATAGAATGCCTCTCAGCTACGTACATAGTCCGGGGTTCCGCTTTTGGTTGACATACTCCTAAACTGCATAGCCTTTGATAAGTCCGGAAAAAAGGGGAAGTTAAGCTTGAAGTGTGCAGTCACAACGCATAGAAATACATACTTGTACGCTCATTAGTCACTGAGAAGTATGCAGTGTCATGTGCCTAGTCCTTGGTGTTCCTGCCGACTAAATTCTATCACAGTCAACTTTAAAATGTGGTCTTAAAATCAAGTGTATTGAAAGAGTGCGCTAAGTGAACAAAAATTCAGTGATTATAGATACTGAGCAGCTGGGCTTGTGAAAAAAGGCTATCTATCTATCTATCTATCTATCTATCTATCTATCTATCTATCTATCTATCTATCTATCTATCTATCTATCTATCTATCTATCTATCTATCTATCTATCTATCTATCTATCTATCTATCTATCTATCTATCTATCTATCTATCTATCTATCTATCTATCTATCTATCTATCTATCTATCTATCTATCTATCTATCTATCTATCTATCTATCTATCTATCTATCTATCTATCTATCTATCTATCTATCTATCTATCTATCTATCTATCTATCTATCTATCTATCTATCTATCTGTCTGTCTACCCATGTGAAATTATAATTTTTCACCTATTTACACGTGGCTAATCGGTAACTGTTTTTATGTATTTGTTTATATTGACTTTGTGCTTGAACCTTACACGTCGCTGACTCTCTCTCTGTCTGTCTTCTGATTCCGGGTTTTTTATTTATTTGTCACATTTCATGTATGAATTATTTTGTCGCATTTAGTTACAAATTGTCGAGTTTAAACTAATTCGTAAAGTATACAATTTTGATTCATCTTACTGAACGTAAACAGCAGATCATTATAATAGTTATAAATGCGACTATTATTAATATCAGTCTTAGAGTATTAGTGTTAATATTTATGAGACTTTTATTCTGACCTAGTGACATTTCAGATTTTATATTTAAGCTCGGTATTATTATTATCATTATTGTGATGAATTTATAAGAGTATATATGTATAGAAAGTGCACTTCATGTCTGCATTGCCTACTTTTTGATTTGAGTAATAATTTGTAGACTTCGAAGATTTTTTGAAGCACAACTAGAATCCGAGACGACGTTGTTGGAAGTTAGCGATAGTAGATCCAAAGATTGTGCGGCAAGAAAAGTAACCAGTCAGTCAGTAGTAAAATGTGTCTAGTAAGTGGCTAGAACAAACATGGTTTGCATGAAAGTGTAGGTAGTATTACGGGGGTCCTTAGTTCATCACGAAATAATCAATATGTGGTGGAATGAATTAGGTTCGTGGTATATTGAGAAAAGTGATAATATCACAATAGTTGAAGGTTCTTTTTGAATACACAGTTCTGATTTAGTCAG